TGGCAAAAGAACAAAGTGCAAACTAAGGAGTGGCACCTGATCAATTTCAATGTAATATGTGGCAAAATATCAAAGACCAAAGTAAACGGTGGCAAATAATCAAATCGCCCGGCTATTTTGGCACAAATCGCGCCAAGACGAAGCGCTGTGACTCGTGTTGATCTCGCGGTCGGCGCCGGAGGAGATGCACCGCCGGGCGCCGCCGCCTTGGCTGGCGACCCTGGTGGCGTAGCTCCTCCCCAGGCTGAGACCAGCCCGCAGCGCAGGGAGCGCCATTGACTCGGTCGATCGATAGAGGTGCCAAGGTGATGCTTGCTAGTTCGACTTTACGATCCCGCTCGGTCGATTTAGTTTGTGCGTCATGCGTCTCCGTTGTACGTTGAACCCAACCTCGGACCAGTTTTATATCCGCGTGAGGCCGCCGGGCCGGCTACGATCCGATCCGAGATGAAGTTGTTTTCCTTCCTGCTCTCGGGTTGTAGGTTCTTTAGGAAAAGTTTTTTATAGCCACGCTGGTCGACCGTGTGAGGATTCCGACCGTTGGGTCGCCTCGGGGGCACGGCCTCCCTCCCAAGCGATCACTCTCTCTCCTTTTATTCTTTCACTAGATTATTGATGGCGCGCGTTGCCGCGCCCGTCTATTTTGATGGCAAATATTAGAGATTGAACTTTATGTGTGGATACATTTATTTTGAAGTTAAATTGACTTTAAGTGGAATATACATTTGTTGTTAATCCATCTATTTTGTTTATTAAAGTGATTTTTAGGTTAATACACCATTGCTAGTTTTATAGTCATCAAATAATGGACGTTGTCCATCCATGGTGGCAGTGGTGTATCAAAGGGAATGCCATTAGGCTATTAGAAGAACAGACATAGTATAATCATGCACAACCAGTAGTAAAGATTTAGTTACATAGATAGCCATCATCCACATGGAAGAGTGGAAAATTATTGTGCTATTGTAGCAGTAGTTGTCTTTTAGCAGTAGATAAGTATATGAAATATGAATTTCACATACTAAGTGAACATATCAAATAATAAATACATACTTTCTGTGTGCAGCTTGTATAACAAGGGGCAAATACGTAAGAACATCCATTTGAGAAAAGGACATGCAACACAATGCAAGCTTAGATAATCATGGTATAGCTTGTTGTCTTAGGACACAGATTATGAATATCGTAGATGGTCCGGTACATATGTATGCATAGATGGGATTCTAAATATATAATGATAGCTTCCTTGACCTTCAGGTCTACTTTAGCCATCAATTTGTTTACACATATTTTTTGAACATTGTAGGACTGGAATGACTCAAGGGGCCTGCAAAAGCAGAGTGAGCATTACATATATACTAACAGTTAATAAAAAGATGAACAATTAAAGAAATGATTATTCTGTTTTACAAATTGGTAAATATGCTAGTAATGCCAATTATTTAAATTAAATAAAAGAGACAGCCATACCAGTGAGATTATAATTGTTGCATGTAGGTAGTTTGCCTTCTCTTGAGAAGTGGTCATGTGCTGTTGTAAAATAAGTTAGTCTTATTCATACATTAAATCTCAACCAATGGGCAAAGCAAACTTCCAAGTCCCTAGGTTCACCATCAATCAGGTTCTCCCTCAAAGAATGAGACTTCCTCAAAATATGAAATGACATTGACGAATCAAGCATCAAACCGGTATAGCAGAATGTATCACAATGCATATATCACAGCATGATAAACTTGTTAACTCAATCAGATCTATCTCTTGACAATTTGTGACATGTTTAGTATTATAGCAGCACGTCAACTTTTTACAGAAAAGCTGCCTCTAAACAGCAAAATGTTCTAAGTCTAAAATAACTTTAGACAACAAAACAAGCAACTGGTTTATGTTGAAGTTCAGTTAGCATTTGGACGAAGCGCATGACGAAATAGACTATGTTGGATTATATTTGCATGAAGAGATGAGGTGTGTCAGTCCTGCGAGTGAACTAATTACCTGATCAGCAGCCATGGCAAATTGTGCATTGAAGAATTCACCAAGCAAAATATGAGAACCAGCCTCCATGATCTGTCTGAATCAAATAGTTGACCAGATCCAGGATTGACAAACCCCTGTACAAACTGAGTTTAGAAAGACATTAGCAGAAAAGAATTGCTGAGTGGAAAGGGAATTGTAGGGGAAAGAGAAAAATAAAGATAGTGGGCAATACAACCGTGAACCATAGCTGCTATAGTCAGAGAAGGACGGAAAGTTACATATTCAGGCGCATGAAGTCAAGCAGCTGCAGGCCAGGAAAATAACAATGTATATCTCCACTAAACGATGCAGGTGAACGGCAGCGCACATCAGTTGTCGTTAACACTTCCAAGAACTGATGATTCATCGCCTCTTTCAACCTGGCAGATGAGATTCAGTCGTCGGCTTCACCGAATAGCCATAGGGCTGCTTCGGTTCTCCCACGAAATCCAAGTGTCACGGCCTGCCTCACCCGCATGCCCCGCGACTGAGAAGGCCGTGCACTCAGCGGGGATCAGTCGCCGTGGCCTGCCTCGGCTTGCTGAAAGATGTTGTGCAGCTGGAGTGGAAAGGGTGGGCGAAGAGTGACAGGAAAGGAGGAATATATACACGTACCTGTACTCCTCGGCATCGGAAAGGATCGGCAGCCGCCATGAATGCGCGCTCCAAAACTGAAGCGTGATTGCATCTTTAGAGTGTCAGCGGAGCAGTTTCCATCAGATGAGGCGTCACCCACATCGTGCGCCATGGGATCCCCTCGCGCGCGTCGGGCGGATCCCCAAGGAAGATCGATCGCGCGCGCATCGATTGGATCCCCTCGCGCGCGTCGGGCGGATCCCCAAGGAAGATCGATCGCGCGCGCATCGATTGGATCCCCTCGCGCGCGTCGGGCGGATCCCCAAGGAAGATCGATCGCGCGCGCATCGATTGGATCCCCTCGCCGCGCCCGCACCGGCCGCATCGCGAGCGTCTCGATCCCCCTCTGTCACCGATCAGATCCTTTTTTTTTTAACCTGTCACCCCTCTGTCACCGATGAGGTCCTTTTTGTATCAGGTGCAGGCCGATCCGTCGCTCTGGACCGTACATGCTCGGTTAGTTAAGTGGGCTGGAAACTCCCAAATCGCCTAATCGGCCCAGTTAACCAGAGGGCTTCATTTCGGCCTGCGGAGCAGCAGCCCACAGAACAGCTAGCCCAGGTTTGCCAGATGCGAGACAGATCGTTTTAGCAGGAGATCCGACGGCCAAAAATGTGCAGATCACGTAAACGGACGGCCAGAAACGTGCAGTGCTGAGAGGACTCGCTTTAGATACGGTTATACTGTCCTTAATTCACAACTCAGACAACTGCATACTGATAGTATTCTCTGCCTGTTACTACTAGCTAATTACTGCAAGATAAGCAAATTCATACGGTGATTGCATACTGCACCACTACGTAGGAGTCTCAACCCTCAAGCCCATTGGATGGTGTAGGTGCTGTCGCCGGTCCGCTTGTCCTCATAGCGCTCCCAAATCACGACCCCGCCGTAGTTAGCCGCCTTCTGCACCACCGGGATAACAACATGGAGGTTCTTGCTTGGGGTGCACGTAGCCAACCTTCCGCTCCGAAGCCGGCAGGTCGAGGTAGATCTGCGTGCTCGGTTGCGCCGGGCGGAGCTACAGGGTGGACAGGGTGGGCCGCGGCCCACCCTGGAATTTTGAACCGGCCTATATACCATGTAGAATTATAGATGGGCCAGAGAAAAAAATAAGGCCCAACAACATCTCTGACCCAGGAAAGAACGCACGCACCACGCAGCCTGCACCAGACGCGAGAAACAGCGAGACGAAACTGAATCTTCTACCCCCTTACGCCCAGCCGCCGGCCGCCCTGTCTCCATCAGCCTCGCCGCCCTCGCCGGTCGACGGACGCACAATCGCTCAGGACTTAGGAGGCTCCTCCACTACTTCCTCTTCGTCGCGCCTGCCGCCTGCCCGTCGCTCGGTGCCAGCCGCACCTCATACGAGGCTGCGACCCGACCCTCTCCTGCCACCGGCCGCCTGGCGCCCTGCAAGCCGGCGGCAGCCGCCCAGTAGCTCGCTGTTTCTCGCGCGGCCTGATTTGAGGTACCATCTCCAGAAGCTCGCTGTTTCTCGCGCGGCCTGATTTGAGGTACCATCTCCAGAAGCTCGCCAATGGACCATTCCCCAATTTTCAATTTAGGGTTTGCTATTTGCTTATGTGTACTAGAGTACATGAGCGACGAACATACACATAATTTTGCACATCATTCATGTCCATTTATGTCATTGTGATCCGTAGAATGTAAATATTGATCTATTCCTATGTGGTGTTGGTAATTACTCACAAACATTCACATGTCATGTTTGTTGTAAAAAAAATTAATGGACCACCCTGGTTTCAAATCCTAGCTCCGCCACTGGCGGTCCACCTGTCCCACTCCTGCTTCAAGTGTGAGGCGCAGTGGGGGCGTCGTAGAACCTGACGGGTCTAATTAGCTAGGATTGTAAAAAACATATGGAGTGGTGATTCTGGGAAAAGTTGGGGAGGGGGACGATTCTGGTAGAATCGTCCAAAAGAACTGGCCCGAAGATGCAGTTGAAAAGCCCCGCGGCGAATTCATTTGGAACAGTTATAAATAAAGTGATTGGATAGATAAGTACTACTCGATTAATTACTACTGTAGCTAGTAGTAGTATACTGTATATGTTACTTATCTCTTTACATTAATATAAGACGCTTTTGCAGTTTAAATTTGTGGTTTAAATGGTGTGCCATGTGCCGTGTCAACCGTACTTATTAATCGAGACCTACTACACAGGTCTCACGTTATTCTTGCAAGCACATGGCACACCATTTCGAGCACAACTGCACACTGATAATAGCAAACACACCATTACGAACTGACTACTAGAAAAAAAAAAGACAAGCAAAGTAGCAAACACATGCAATTCACACGGTAACGCTGACGCGAGTGAGAGAGGCTCAAGCCCAATTGATGACGAAGCTGCTGAAGCCGGTGCGCTTGTCCTCGTAGCGATCCCAGACCATGATGCCGCCGTAGTTGGCCGCCTTCTGCACCACCGGGATGATATCGTAGTAAAGGTCCAGGGGGTGGACGTAGCCGACCGTCTTCTCCGAAGCCGGCAGGCCGAAGTAGATTTGCGCGCCCGGCTGCTCCGCCGTCCACCTGTCCCACTCCTGCTGCCAGTTAGCGGCGCACTGGGGGTAGTCGAAGAACCTGACGAAGATGCGAGTGAAGAGCCCCGTGGCGAGCGCCCGTCCCACGCGCCTGTCCCCGCACGACGACGTCGCCGTCAGCTGCACCGGCACCCTGCCGCGGTACGGCCTGTTGTAGTCCCATAGCCGCCTGGCCAGCTCGTCGTAGGGGTCCGGGCCAGGCCGCCCGCCGCCGTCGAGGAAGAAGTCGATGCCGTCCACGTAGGCGTCGCCGAACGGGCGGTGGACGCCCTCGCGGGTGCCGAGCATGTAGGCGTTCCAGAGGTAGTCGGCCACGTCGGCCGCGCCGACTGGGCGGTCGGCAGGGAGTAGTGGCCGCCGAAGCCCCCGATGGAGAGGAAGACGAGGAACTTCTTGGAGTGGCAGTACTTGATGTCGGCGCCGACGGCGGAGACGTCGTGGCCGGAGAGGTCGAGGTGGTACTTGCCGCGGCCGAAGACGTCCAGGAAGGAGATGACGGCGATGGTGTAGGTGCCGGTGTCGCAGGCCTCCCGGAGGGACCCCTCGTCCTTGTTCCGGCCCCAGAACACCACGACGTTGCCGGTCTTTCCCGTGGCCGCGGCCGGGCGCCCCGCGAGGAGGGTTGCGGCGAGAAGGAGGAGTAGGAGGGAGGCTGGCCGACGGCGTGTGAGCGCCATTGGCGGATGGATATGAGTTCTCTTGCTTGTATTGCCTGCTGCTGTGAATAACTACCTCGATTTGTGTCTGATATATATAGGTGAATTGTTGACCTTGTGGAGATTGAGTTGCTAGACGTGGAATGGAATTGAAGAAGGCTACAGTTGACACGGTACTGCCACGAGTAAGTTGTTGAATTCTCAGCTGGATTATTTAGGCTGGATCCTATACTATGTGCCGCGCGCGCGGGAGCTGACTCAAAAGGATTCCATTTTTTTTAACACAATACAGACGCAAGCGCTCGTATAAACATGCATACACTCATCCCTATGAATACACACACGCACACCCTATCTCTATGAGCACCTCCGAGAGACTGAGTCGGCATATCATCTTGAGATTTTACGAAGTCACCGTAGGCGCCTCATAGTCGACGGGATGTTTTCTTCCACTGAAAGCGTATCGCCGGAATTTCTAAAATAAATCCAGAATAAATGCGAGCACCAGGATTTGAACTCTGGTGGGTTAGGGATACCACTGTCCACCTAACCATCTCAATCAGAGGTTGGTTCGCAGGATTCCATTAATTAGGTGATGTGATTACAATCAGCGGCAACGACGCTCGCAATCTCATGTTGTGTGCGTGCCATTTGAGCCACAGTATGACTAGCTACATTTACATCACGCTTGATCTTGATTATTTGAACCCTTCTTTCTTGAGACAAAATTGATCTGATCTTCATAACTCTGGAATAGCTGGGATTGAGTGTTCACTCATAAGTATTTTAATTTTTGTTGCGAAGGTATGCTCGTGCTTATACTTATTTTCTCTCGTATATGTGAGAGTAAATTTTGTTGAAACATGTCTGGTCCTACTCAATCTGGCACGACATTTGCAATTAGCGACAGAAAAATGTAGAAACAAACCAATCATAATCCATTAAGGACTTCTTCTACGTTTGCTCGTGCATTGTGTGATTGGTCTGAATCTTGTCCAGATACCGACGAAACTAAACTATTACTACAATTTAGATTTGAGTTTCACTTTCCTAATCTTGAAACAACTGTGACATGGTTGTAAAAAGAAAATATAGATTTTTAGTGCTCCCATCCCATACATACCGAATTTATTTGAAGCAATGTATTGCAACCAATATTATTGACGTTTTACAACTTGAGTAATCTGCAATGGACTAAGAACATTGCTAGGAAACCTTCTTTGGGACTAAAACCCAACCACACCCTACTCTATCGCTTTATAGCCAAGTGTACACTCCATATGTAAGAATCAACCACTGCTGGACTAACCGTTTGCATATTCATCATATTCATCCGCAACTGCATTCGATAGGCTAGCATGGTATATCTTGAACCTTTTCTTGTATTTCAATTTGTTTACGGTGAATCTACAAGCACAACAGGTAGCTTTCTTCTGAATTTGTCGATGTAGGCCTTCGTGGGAGGATATGTTAGTAGCGTTCTATAGTTTTAAAAAATTGACAGAAACATAGGTGCTACTTTACGTACTTGGTCATATGGTATTGCCAATTATTCTCTCGTAAATAATTCGATGTTCTTCACCATGTAGAGTGCACGAGAAGAACTGCAATATTTTATTCTGTTAGCAAGATTTCACGTATTAACAATAGAAACAAAAAGAAAAGCTAATCTTGTTGACTGGCATGTCATCTTGTTTTGAAACGGGAACAAGCTTTACTGGCCATTGGGTCAAGTTAATGTTTTTCCATGCATTGCTTTGTGGTCTATTGATTCGCATAGATGCTCTTAAATGTGCTTCCACCCCACGTATCTGTAAGTTTATGGGATGAGAAGTTGCTTATGATTAATACTTAGGTATGATGTTAAATCTTGTGTTTTAATGAAAGTTAAAATTCTCATGACGTATTTACTTCTTTATGTACTATATAGTGGAAAAGTGAATCAAAAACCTGAATCTTCCTCCTTCTGAGGTTTAGGACCACAATATACACAAGCTTGTTTTTATCACAGTGAGGCCAGCAATGATCCGATTCTAGAGTAGTCAAGGTGGCACGCATCGGAGGCGGCTTTTTCGCATGACACAGCAGAAGGTTTTAAATGAGCCGATTTTTTACGACACCCTCATCAACTGGTCAGGTACTACAACAGTCAACAAGATTGCATGCACCAACAATCAATAAGATTGCACGTACTGAAAGTGGAAGAATTGCCCTGTAACATGGCATGGATAGTTCAAAGGAAGCAACAAGGATGACACCATCATTCTTGAGGCCGTGGCCGACCAGGAGACATAAATTTGGCATGTCTGTTTTGGGATGCCTAGATCTTGCAGTGATTCAACGTGTTGCACTGATCACCTCTTACACAAAGTTAGCTAGTCGGGAACTACCGCTGGTGAACCTCCAAAAAATGGTCGTACATACAACGTTGGGTATTACCTTATGGATGAGATCTATCCGAAGTGCTACTTTCATCAAGCCATTTCAAAACTCTCAGGGTAAGAAATAATTTACTTTTATAATGCTCAACCGGCTGCTAGGAAAGATGTGGAAAGGGCTTTTGGGATTTCATAATCCAATTTGCTATTGTGCGAGGACCGGTTAGGTTTTGGGATCAAGGATATTCTTTGGTACATCACCACAACCTGCACAATATGATCATTGAGAACGAGCGTGGACAAGATTTTGAGTACAATGTCTATGATTTCATGGGATGATCAGTACAGCCGAGTCAGAGGCAAGACCGACTGCGTCGCTTTCTTGAGGTCTACGATGACAGGTGCCGATCCGCACAAAGATCTTCAAAGGGATTTCGTGGAGGAGTGGCAGGCATGGCATGGGCGACAACGGGACTAGTTTTATCACTATGTTTGTTGCATTTGTGTGCTGAACTTTTTTGTATTGTAAGGTAAACTTTGTTGTTGAGCTTGATGAACAACTTATGATGTGGTTTGTAGTTTGTTTTGGACTCATTTGAGATGCGTTTGATATTTCATATATGTACAATATGTATGAATTGTAATGAAAATATACATGCGGCTGTCGTGCGGCTACCCTATTACAGGGCAGCTGTTGGAGACGACACTTTGCCATGTCAAAAAAACACTTTTTGAT